ATCTACTATATGAGGCATTTATTGCAAAACCTTTCAATATCGATGGATGTATCCATTTGAAAGGTATTGACATTTAGTTTAAAAGTAAAATTAAATAAATTTTTAACTTTTGAAAGTTAACGTAATTCATATTTGCAGTATCTACAAAAGTAAATAATAATAATAATAATAATGTTAAGAATAAAACTAAAATGGAAGGATTAATATACAATGCATATTTGGTCGAAGAAACCTCTTTATTTTGCTTGCATTATTTTGAGCCTCATATGCATACTAGGCATCAAAAAGTGTCGCGTAATTTTGACTACTATGAAGGAGAAGAAAAAGACTATATTGAATGGATGTTATCCATATTCAAACAACTAGGTCAACCAACTGATCGACATAAAATACAAAAATTGACACAACTCGAATACAAAACAGACCCACCAATATATATTGTTGAATTTTAAAGAAGTAAAACCTTACATTGAGTGAGTTTATCATAATTTAAATTTTATATCATACATATTTTATCACATTTAATAATATTAGAAACATAGTAGAGACTAACTCATGTTTGTTATTAATTCTCTTCTATTTAGTGGATTTCTTGTCGAAATACAACTCGAACAATCCATTCATGTCCGAGAATGATGCTAATGCTCTAATTGAAAATGAGTTTTTCTCTTGTTTTAATCAATATGTAAGTATTAGCATTTTATATGTTTAGTTTGTTGATAGCATTAATTGAAAGATAACTAAACTTATAAGGGATTTTATGCTTAATTTATAGACACAAAATGCATAAGCAATTTTCAATGAAAGACCAATTCTTGAACGATCTTGCATAAGGCCCATTACTTACCGTAAGATCATACAAAGATTATTTTATTAATGGTTATAGGTTCCATACACTTGAGAGATCTTCGAAAACAGGGTTTTTCAATAATGGTGTTTGCATTAAAGAAAGCAATTACAAGTATAGCTGAAAGTGATTATTACAGGATGTTAACAAAAATTCTTAAAGTAGAGTATCATGTATTACCAATCAAGAGAACAAGATGTAAGTATTAGCATTGTATATGTTTAGTTTGTTGATAGCATTAATTGAAAGATAACTAAACTTATAAGGGATTTTATGTTTAATTTATAGACACAAAATGCACAAGCAATTTTCATGAAACACCAATTCATGAAAGATCTCGTATAAGGCCCATTACTTACCGTAAGATCATACAACGATTATTTTTATTTAATGGTTATAGGTTCCATACATTTGAGGGATCTTCGAAAAAAAGGTCTTTCAATAATGGTGTTTGCATTAAAGAAAGCAATTACAAGATAAGTCGAGAGTGACTATTACAAGATGTTGATAAAAATTCTTAAAGTAAAGTATCATGTATTACCAATCAAGAGAACAATATTGTTCAAAAGTCATTGATTCGATCCCACAAGTATAAACTTATGGATGTTAATTATAAAAGAACCTTGAACAATTATGACCCATTTATCTTAATATCACATTCAGACTCACGTGTATTGTATGGAGTACCCTAGCTTAAGCCGTGAAAGTCGAGATTGGTGGGTTGTATGTAAGATCAAACATAGGTCTCGTGTTTGACTTCCCTAATTCATCGACTACCGTGCTGAACCATTTCAACAGGACAATCCGAAAATCGGATACAAATTGATAGAGGAAGTCGAAGACGTCACTTTATTGAATGATCTAAATGGATGATGAGAATGTATTAAATGATGGAGATGATACTTTAAACAATGATTACAATAGGTCTAATTAAATTTATATTTCATTTGTTATATTATTAAGAAATGATGTAGTTTTTATCTCTTTATTAATTTGGTACATACAATTTATAATATCGATTTTTCTACCTCCGCTAAATGTTCGTTATATATTTTGATTGTTTTATATCCATAACAAATAATGTATTTTAATTTAATTACCTATTAATTGACTTTGATAATATATTTGTTATATATATATATATTTATATATATATATTTAACATTAGATCATACAACAATAACTCGTGGTAATCATGGTTTGCGTTGTCCCTTCACAATCACTATCGGATCACATTTTGGTAATTGTGGATGAGCATCATCGTCCGAGGGTAGTCCATTAGGATCCCTTACTAGTATCGGTCATAGGTCTCTAACAACAAGCCTTTTCCATGGATCCCATAGCTCCCGCACTCATAGAGCCAACACATCCACATCGACAAGTATTCCTACATCAACACCTAAGGTTCCACTACCGACCTCCGGGAATGGCCCCTCCACTCAAGTGTCCGACATTCCATAGAGTCCTTACAACTCTTTCGATCGGTGACGTATTATTTCTATCAATCGAGGATAATATGTAATTCAATAATGGTGTGTTGTTTTTAACATTTCTCTTTTCATTTTATTGTTGGATAGTTTGAATTCGTATAGTAGAGATTATGCTATAAGGATATCCGAGATTTTTAAGGAACGGGTCGACAAGAGTAGATCGTCTTGGAAGGCTATCATCAACATCACTAAAGACTTCTACTTTAGTGAATTTTGAGTAACATATTATCAATTTTTTTATAAATTAAATAAAAAATTTCTCATCAAATAAATTATATAATTTTTTTTCCGTGTAGAAATTTTTTGACCGTGATGTGGACATCGATGTGTTTGTTAGAGCGGCATGGGAGGGTGTTACCAAAAAATGCTACTCGACTTCATCTACAAGATCGACTAAGAGCAAATGATCCGTTTATATTAGTTAGTGAGGTCCGGGATACGTGGCAAATAGATTCCAAGAGCCCCGATCACGTGGTTCGTTCGTAGCAAGCATCGCGGAACCAATTATCGAAGATTGATGGTCCTAGTGTAGGTCCTTCTAGCCATACGGTAGGGTCAATATCTTCGGAAGAGCACGTCCGTCACATGGTAAATTATTCACTCTTTATTATTATTTACTTATTTGAGAACATTTCAATTTCCTTCTCATATTGTTCGTAATGAATTTTTGTTTCGAGCAACCAAATTGGGTTGTCGACCAACAAGTTTTGAGTTACTCCAAATGACTCACTAAGTGGCAAGATGGTTCATTCATCGATAGCACTCCTAGCGACAATGGTCGGTGTTTTTCAATTTCAAATATTAAATATGAAAATTCAATCTAAAATTTATTTTAATCATATAATGATGATATTATTATTTTGATTACATAGGATCGTGTGGAGCGAGTCATCAATGAGGCGAATTGAGCCTCGTACAGCAACGAGAATCATGAAGCTAGAAGTAGACCGTAATGCCATATACCTCAAGGTCGTCGGAAAGAAGAAGAAAAGGTTTTATGGTTTAAGCACACGATCAGTGCATTATTTGTCCCAATCAGTGGCGAGCAGCTCCTCCTTTACGATGTCGCATTACGCCGCCGAACCAACTAACGAAGAGCTTTAGAAGGACTACAACGCTACAAAGAAAGCGATAAAGGGGATTCGAGTGATGCAAGACGAGCTCAAAAGCCAAGTGATAGAGCAGCGAAGCCGCATCTTATAATAGCATCGGATTATTTATAGTTTGAAATCTTAGTACAACTCGATGATATCCTTAGTGATGAAGCAAGCACAAACAACTAGTGGTGCCTATGGATCCATCGGTCGGTCAATAGTTCATCGTTCCTTCCACTCGACCTCCCGTCGAGCCTCCAGCCCATCCTCTAGTCGAGCCTCCAAGTCAATCCTTCCGTCGAGCCCTCCACAAAGTATCAAGATGAGGATATGGAATTAGACGAGCAAGATGAGTGATAGGGCATTTAGTCACTTTTTTATTTATGGAATGTACTGTAGAATGATATTATTAATATTATTTTATTTTCAATATATATGTTTTTACTTATAATTGTTAACTATTAAATATAATAATATATATATTAATTATTAAATTCAATATTAATAATTAAAAAATTATTAAAAAAATATTAGTGACGTAATAGTGATAAATTCATTTTTAAAATAAGCCACTGAATAGCAACAAGATAACGAAAAAAATTCATTTTCAAAATTAACGATGGTAATGAGCAACGAAATTTCGATCACTCGTTCGTAGATGAAAATAGCGATGGAACTGCTATGAAATAAGTGACATATTGATGAAAGATTAGCAACGGAATTTGGTTGATTATGTCGTCGCTAAATTTGTGACAAAATAGATATTCCATCACAAAAAAATAACAAGCAAAATAGCAACGAAATATTGGTCATCACGGTTTCGTCGCTAACCTTTGTTAGTGATGAAATTTATATTCCATCGCTAACAACCTTTTTTTTTTTGTAATGGTTCTTGAGGTAGAAATTTAAGAGTTTGTAACTCCAGCACCAAAGAGGAGTGTTAATTGCCATGACTCAAGAGCTGTTAGTCATGCTTCATGTTCAAGTTTATTAATCATGCACCAGGTTCTTAAATTGTAGTTATCATGCTATGTTAATCCATGTTTTTAGAGTTTAGGAGACAGTGGATATAGGGTTAGTCACACTTCTAGTAGTTATGCCCCATGTTTCTTAGAGTTGTATTTATGGATGTTTAACATCAATAAAAATGCAATAGAGATTTCACTCTAAATATATATATATATATATATATACATACTGTTTCTACACTTTATTTCGGTCAAAAAAATCAACAAATTTCATTACTTTAGTGCCCAATATTTGATTTCGGACTGTATGGTTAATGTAGGATAAAAAATCCAGATAAAAAGCAAACTTCTCCCTCCCTTCATCTCTCTCTCCCGATCTCTCTCGGTATATATATATGAGGAAACGTCAACATTAACAACGTAAGGGAATATGAATAGTCATTTTTTATGGAGTCTAGACCTTTCTCGTTGGGTTGGACCACCATTTTCTCAGCCTACATAAAGGATTCATACGCCAAAAATACTTTGATCAATTAAGTTGTATAGCCAAGGATCCTACATAAGACATCTCATAGTTGCGAAAATTTGAACATATATAAAGATGGTAGGATTTCATAAAATTCCACTCTCTCTTCCTTCTCGTCATATTTTCTAATTCTTTTGACTTATTAATTGTTATAGGATGAAGCACACAAGTTGAATTTATGGGAAGGTTACGTAGACTGGAGGAACAGACCTGCAATGAGAGGTCGGCATGGAGGCATGCTTGCTGCCTCCTTTGTCTTGGGTGGGTACTTACATCTCTCTCTCTCTCTCTCTCTCTCTCTCTCTCTCTATATATATATGTATATATATATATATATATATATATATATGTATATATGTATATGACGTTAATATATAAGATTTTGTATATTGCAAATAACAGTTGTGGAGGTACTGGAGAATCTAGCATACCTGGCTAATGCAAGCAACCTTGTGCTTTACCTGTCGAAGTTCATGCATTTTTCCCCATCCAGCTCGGCCAACATTGTTACCAATTTCATGGGCACAGCCTTTCTCCTTGCTCTACTAGGTGGCTTTCTAGCAGATGCTTTTTTTACTACCTACCTCATCTATTTAGTCAGTGCTGCAATCGAATTCATGGTAAGATTATTTGACAAAGAGTTAGCCAGTTATTTCCTTATGTTTGTAGTAAATTTCTGTAGTTCAGTTTGCAATAGAGACTGCCATCCAATTAGGCAGTTGCTTATCAGAAAAAGACACTTGTGAAAAACACAAATTATATGATGTAATTAAAATTATTAATTAATCAATCAGTAAAACTTCATGCAAAAATAAATAAACATTTTTTTTCCTGTATAATTAAAACTAGTATCAATTAATCAATAATAATTAGTGCAAAATTAAATTAATACAAGCATAATCAACACACGAATTTTTAGATAAAAAATCTCGTGTAGGAAAAAACTATCAAACTGTAATCTACTCAAATTTTTCAACAATATCAAATAATGGAATACAATTTTATTTTTTTATTTTTATTTTTTATCCTAACTCAACTAATCGAAAGATACACATTAAAACAATAAATTCTTCATTTCATCAATAATGAATTCCAATAACAAAGAAAATAACAAGATCTTGCTAAATAAGTTTTTAAAAAATATCCAAATATAAAATTAAGTTTCTCCGCAAATAATGATGGATTTCATCATCAACAAAAACAAAGAAAATAATTAGATCTTGCTAAATTAATATATTTTTTTTAAAAAAAAAAAAAAAGCTAACAATAGAAGTTTCTCACCAATAACACCGTTTAAGTTGTCGCTGTAACAATTTATGAAAGTTTCATATTAAATTCAACATTTTAGGTACCGGTAGGCAACATAGCATCTATTAATTTGTATCTGTCATTGCCCTTTCGGGAGTACTATTAATTATGTGGAGGGTCAGGAGGACTTAGCACAAGAATATGACAGGCCATAAATTAAATGGCATGTACTAAATATCTATTTAATTTTAACGGTTAATTCTTCATTGTCATTGACAAAATCCTTTTTAAAAAAATTCTTCTAATATTTTAGTCTGAAATTTTTGACATATACAGGTTGAATCACCTAGAGGCCAAAATGGCTAGATTCCCAACTTGTGCTTGCTAGAAATGAACCCTGAGAAAAATGACGCATAAATCATCTATGCATTTCCCTATGCGATAAGCTGATTAAAAAAGAAATATGTGTAATCAATGATCTTTTGCACTCTCTTCATCCTTGGGAGTAAAACCAGGTTAAATTAAACTCCCAATTGCCCAACTTCAGCTACAAAATGTTGAAATTCACTGTTACAGCGGACTGCAGACATACAATCTATCCATAGCCTGGCTAGTCTTTTCTATCAATCGTCACTCCTGCGAACTTTTAGAGATTTCCACAGCAATTTAAGATGTTAACTAACTATGATCCGCGAAACAGGGTCTGTTACTACTCACAATTCAAGCTCGTGTAAGTTCACTGAAACCACAACCATGCTTTTCATCGACCACCAGTATCTCATGCGAGCAATTCGACGGCAGGAAAGCATTGATGTTGTTCACAGGCCTCTACCTGGTGGCACTCGGTGTTGGAGGGATAAAAGGTTCACTTCCTCCACATGGTGCTGAGCAGTTCGATGAGAATACCCTTCCAGGAAGAAAGCAGAGATCTGCATTCTTTAATTACTACGTATTCTGCCTCTCCTGTGGAGCTTTGATTGCAGTGACTCTTGTGGTATGGATTGAAGACAACAAAGGCTGGCAATGGGGATTTGGGGTTTCCACTGCAGCAATACTTCTCTCCATCGCAGTCTTCCTCAGCGGTTCCCCAGTTTATAGAACCAAAGTTCCTAAGGAAAGTCCCATCACGACTATATTCAAGGTAATAGCCTAGATGTATATAAATAGAGCGAGCATTAATATAAAAACATTTCATATTGCAAAGATGAGGCTGGCTAGACACGGCAATCTCAAGGTTTTTTCCCCTCAGGTTCTAGCTGCAGCAGTATACAACACCTGTAAAATCAGAAATCCTAGCAATGCTGTCATGGGCATGGACACGAGCACATCCTATGTCACCGAAACCAGTGACGGAGAAGACAGCAGCAATGTAAAAAGAAAGGCAACAAGTCAAACTCCAACAGAAAGCCTCAAATTTCTTAACAGAGCAGTGATGAACAAAACAGGGAAGCCAATATTAGAATGTAGAGTAGAGCAGGTAGAAGAGGTTAAGATAGTGCTAAAGATCCTCCCCATCTTCATGTCTACTATAATGCTAAACTGTTGCCTTGCTCAGCTCTCAACTTTTTCGGTCCAACAAGCATCAACCATGAATACCAAACTTGGCTCCTTAAAAGTCCCACCAGCTTCTCTTCCTGTTTTCCCTGTTATATTCATCATGATCCTGGCACCAATCTATAACCACATCATCATTCCATTCGCTAGGAAAGTGACAAAATTTGAAATGGGGATAACTCATTTGCAAAGAATAGGGACAGGGCTAGTCCTATCCATCGTGGCAATGGGGGTGGCCGCCCTGGTGGAAATGAAGCGAAAGAGAGTAGCAGAAGCCAATTATGGTTCTGGGCTAGCAAATTCAACTAAACCTCTACCCATCACATTCCTTTGGATCTCATTGCAGTACCTGTTCCTGGGATCAGCTGATCTTTTCACATTAGCAGGCATGATGGAATTCTTCTTCACAGAGGCCCCAAAAAGCATGAGATCTTTGGCCACGTCTCTATCATGGGCCTCGCTTGCGATGGGATACTACCTCAGTTCGGTGCTTGTATCAGTAATCAACAGGGTGACAAGTATATACGGACACAAGCCATGGCTGTTTGGTAGCAACTTGAATGAGTATCACCTCGAGAGGTTTTACTGGTTCATGTGCGTACTAAGTGCGTTAAACGTGTTTCATTATCTCTTCTGGGCAAGCCGCTACAAGTACAATTCCACCAGCCCACAGATCACAAGTCCTGACTCATCACAATTAATGCAACAGAATTAATTAATTATTGCAATAACAGCTGCTCTTATTTTAGAATTAATTAGAACATCCATTCTTAATCAATTTGTCGGTTAGCTCGGAACACGTGCAGAGAGAGTGGCAGTAATTAATGGTGTTTTGTATTACTGCTACTATTATACTAGTATATATTAATTAATTAAATAAATATTATTTGTCCCATCTCTTCAGTCAGATTCTTGCAAGCCACTTTCATCTTATTTCTTACGCATTCTTATTCTTTTCCAGATTTTAAAATACATTGATTCATTGACTACTGTTTGAGAATGCTGAATCGCAAAAGTAAAAAGAAAACACATAGTAATAAATATTAATTTACGACATAGCAGAAAGTTTTGTCAGATTAAATAATCTAAAACAACAACAAAACTTAACACAATTCCCAAATAAAACAAGAGAATAGGCTAAGGCTGAGGCTTTGGCTGCAATGGGAGTGCCACTGGCCGATATAGAGTAAATTTGTAAACGTAATTAAAAGAAGACGTTCCCTTTATATATATATATAGGGAACGTCTAAACCACAGAATTGGGTTGCATTACATGTTTATGTTTGAAAATAAATTAGTTTCTTGTCCCGCGCTGCGCTGCACAATGATTCGTGTTGACAAGGAAACCATACATTTTTTTTTTAATTAAACAGGTTAAAATTTAAATAAATTGAATAAGTTAAACAAATATTGATATGTGAAAATAAAGTAAATAGATTGCATATTAAATAAAAAAAAACTATATATTAAACAATTAATAACATTTGGGGTTCTTTTCATTTTACAATTTATCACATGTATTTTAGGAGAAAAGAAAAAATCAACATGTAGAGAACTAATTGCATATGGAAAAAAACCCATGTTCCACGAGTAATGAATTCGAGTTACTAATACTCCATCATACAATGCTACAAGAAAACAAAGGATTGTGACTATTTCTTAACGACGGTTTACCGTCATTAAAAATCAAGAATTAGTGACGATCTTAGTAAATTGTTGCAAATTTCATTACAATTATAAGTTTTTAGCAATGATTTTGAAAATCGTCGCTAAAAACCTAGAATTAGTACCGATCTTAGTAAATTGTTGCGAATTTCGTTACAATTATGGATTTTTAGCGATGGTTTTGAAAATCATCACAGATTCCTCCTAAATTAATGGTTTTTAGCATTGATTTGTGCCGAACCGTCACTAAAAACCAATTTATGGGTGAAATTTAGTGACAGCTCAACAAAAACCATCACTAAATAATTTTTAGCAAAAAAATTACTAGTTAGAGGAAAAATCAAATTTTTTTTTAAAAAAGGGACTTTAGCGACGGAACGCAAATCGTCGCTAAATACAAAATCCCTAAATTCAATTCTATCTCTTTTTCCTTATTTTTTTCTTCTTTTTTTCTCTCTTCTTCTCCTTGGTCGGCGCCACCACCCCCAAAAATCCTCCATAGACGCCATGAGCTCCTCCAAACACCCCTTCTATCTTTTTCTTCTTCTTCCCCTCCATCCCTTTCGTTTTCCTCCTCCATTTTCTTCTTCTTTCTCTCCTTTCCTTCTCCTCCTCCCTTCCCTTCTCTTCTTCATGGGTCCATTGCTGGCAATAGCTCCTCCCTTCACTCCTCCATTTGTGGGCTTCCCAACTCTCCTAAGGTGAGTTCTTGGTTTTTTTTTTTTGTTTATTAAATGTATATATATTGTTGTTCATATATATATATATGTATGTACTTAATTAATTTTTTGTTAATTGTTAATTAGTTTAATTTATTTTCGAGTTAGGAATAATTTATCAGCTTGTTAAATAATTATATTAGGTGTTAAGGTAATTTATTTAAGAGAAAAATAATTTTATTATGTGTTAATTATGTTATTTAGATGTTAATTATGTTATTTAGGTGTTAAAATAAGTTAATTATATGTTAATTAAATTAATTAATGGTTACAAAATTTTAATTAGGTGTTAAGTTAATTTATTTAGGTATAAAATAATTTTATTAGGTTTTAAATAAGTTAATTATGTGCTAAAATATTTCATTAGGTGTTAAGTAAATATAATTTAGTGTTAATTAAATTAATTAATTGTTAAAAAGTTAATTAGGTGTTAAGTTAATTTATTTAGGTGTAAAATAATTTTATTAGTATTAAATAAGTTAATCAGGTGTTAAAATATTTCATTAGGTATTAAGTTAATATAATTAGGTATTAATTAAATTAATTTTGTGTTAAAAATTTTAATTAGGTGCTAGTGTAATTTATATATGTGTAAAATAAATTTATTAGGTGTTAAATAAGCTAATTAGGTGTTAAGTTAATATAATTAGGTATTAATTAAATTAATTTGGTGTTAAAATATTTTAATTAGGTGCTAGTGTAATTTATATACATGTAAAATAAATTTATTAGGTGTTAAAAAAGTTAATTACGTGTTAAAATATTTCATTAGGTGTTAAGTTAATATAATTAGGGGTTAATTAAATTAATTTGTTGTTAAAAAAATTAATTAGTCGTTAGTGTAATTTATTTATGTGTAAAATAAATTTATTACGTGTTAAATAAGTTAATTAGGTGTTAATTTAATTTATTTGGTATTAATGATATCATTTTGGTGTTAAAAAAATTTAATTATATGGTAAAATAATTTATAGTTCATACTTGTATGAAACCATTTGTTATATTATTTTCCAACGAGTTTCTTATTGAAGTATTTATGTAGTTATACTTGAAATGTGAAGAAATTTGAAGTGTTTTGGTCATTGATATTAGGATGAAGCCTTAAGGATATGACCTCATATGGAAAATAATTGAGAAAGTATAAGGTCGTTGTCAATGCTCTATGATGGAAATGGGAGGTTATGAATGGTGTATTTTGGTTTGTGTATGCAATTTGCATTGATGGAGAAAGTGAGTTGATGGATCGTGTTGCATGTTTTATATATTTTATTGATCCTAAATATCTTTTAATTGGAAAATGTTCGAGTTTATAGGGAAAACTCTATTGAAATTTTGTTAAAATTTTAATTAGTTGTAACAAATATTTGTATGATGTCAATCGCATAATTTTTAAATAATAATAACTAGTTATTCCGTTTTTTTCTTAAATATACGTACAAAACTAATTATGAATTCGGATCGTTCATAACTTGACTATAGATACACCAATAGTCTTTTAAATCAATGTTTCATTGATAAGGTAAATGAATTTATTGCTTTTGTTGTTAGCAATCCGGAATGTATGGATAGAACTAAAATAAGACGTTCTTGTAAACTCAAAAAGTGTCGAACCATAGTTATGAAGATCCCGATAAAGTTAAGTACCATTTGATGAAATATGGTTTTGTGTTTGGATATTATGTATGGAGATGTCATGGAGAAAGTGAGTCGGTGGTTTATGATGATAACTCAAAAAATTTTATTGAAACTAAACAAATCTTTGATGAACCTTTAGCCAATCCATATCACACAATGGTGATGGATGTAGTCGGTCCATCATTTATTCCGTCTAACACCAACGAAGTCCCAAATCCTACTATTTAGATATTTTATGATTTGTTAAATGCATCAAATAAAGAGATCTTGCCCGATTCAAAATTTCTCATAGTTATCTATATTGGCTCATTTGTTACACTTAAAGTCCGAATATTATTTTTTGGAGAGGTGTTACAACGACTTATGTCAACTTATGAAAGAGTTGATGCCTATTGATAATTGTATGCTAGAAGACTTCTAAAGTACAAAAAAGTTGGTCGAAGTGATGGGTTTACTAGTTCAACAAATTCATAGTTATATAAATGGATGCATGATTTATTGAGATGGAGATAGTGAGAGAATTGCTTGCAAAATCTATGACCATTCTTGATATTGAAGTCCTAGATAAGGATTGATTAGAAAAACTTATGTCTCGTAAAAAAAATATATTATTTTCTCCTAACCTTATGATTACATAAGATGTATGCATTGAATGCCACAACTAGTAACATGATGTAGCACGCCGACTATGAAGTCGAGGCGGACATCATGCGCCATTGCTCGACTCTTTTGCATGGTAGCATTTTGATCAAGCACATCCTTCTTTTGCATAAGAAATTAGGAATGTCGATTGAGTCCGCACCGATGGGTTTCGACCTTTTGGTCCGTTGGACAATAATATTCTTAGTGGCCTATAATTATAACACCTTATAATTTGTCATCATGGAAATGTATGAAGGAAGAATAAATATTCTTAATCGTAATTATTCCAAGACCAAAAAATCTAAAGATCAAACTAGACATGCGCTTATAGTCCTTGATTAAAGAGTTGGTTGATTTACGAAAATTTGGTGTGCTTACCAATGATGTGTCCCATAAATAGAATTTTCATATGCGAGTTGCTATTATGTGAAAAATCAATGATATTCTTGCATATTCAATGTTATCCGATTGGATTATCGTGAGAAAAATAGCATGCCCTTATTGCATGAAAAATTGTGATGCTTTTAGTCTCCGTAATGAAAGAAATACCTCATGGCTTGACAATCACCATAAGTTTTAGCCAAAAATTCATCCATTTAGGAGGAACATAAATGCTTTTAAAAAAATATAGTTGTCACAAACATTGCTTTCTCGGTCCGGAACCGATATTTTGCATGAAGTAGAAAATTAAGGGTTGATGAAAGTCATAGAAGATGGTTTCGAAGAGTGTAACGATTGTATATCTAGATTTTATGATTAAAAGAAATGGAGTATATTCCGAGATCTTCTATATTGGAGTTCCAATCTAATTTGGCACAATTTGGATATAATGCACATTGAATAAAATATCTTCGACAACGTGTTTAATACGATTATGAGTATGCTAAAAAAAATCAAAGACAATGCTAACTATAGAGAAGACTTAAAACTTTATTATCGACGAACTGTAATTAGAAAGAGATGAAGACTTTAGAAAATACCCTAAGGTGTGTTACACTTTAGACAAACAACAAAAAATACAATTGCTTGAATGGCTCAAACAACTCATGTTTTC